ACTAATTCTAATAAAATTTTATTTTTATAATTCATGTAAATAACATTTAAAAATAATTGTTCTGAACACAACAACTATGGTTCTGACTAAACGTAGTGATCATATACTCTTTGGTTCTGAGGGGTCGTTTCTAAATATTACCATACTCTTTGGAGCGTTCTACAAAGTTGACCTTGGATTGCCTCATGTGTACTATGGAGTGTAGAGTAGAAGGAGAACCATCTTATAAGGTGCGAAAGTTGAAAAAGTGTCCCAATATATACTGAAAATAGAGGTTCCAAAACCTACCACAATAGCGCTGGCGTCTGAAAAACTACGATATGAATATAGCTGTTGTAGACCGAGTGAAGTCAGCTGAATTAAAATATTTAAAAAATTTCATGACTAGAGTAGTTAGTAAAATGCCAGTATACAAAACCTCAACTATTTACGTAGTACAAAACCAAGCGGATTGGTCGGTCCTTGTTTATTTCTCCATCTTATTCTAATAAATTTTGGCGCTTTTTTTTAATTTATCCTATGCTACTGCAGCGCCACCTTTATTGGACGCGTTTTTAGGGACACTTTTCATATACAGAGATGGTCCTCCTTCTACTCTACACTCCATAATGTGTACTTCAAAGGCTTGACAGATTAAATTATCCCAAATTGAATGTGATTTTTGGGTAACAACTAGTGTCCGACCGAAACAAAATTTTCAACCGAAACCGAAAACGAACCTTCGGTCTGGTTGTCAGTTTCGGCCGAAACCGAAACTTATTTAGACATGTTAATTTTTTTATTGTATATGAAAAATCGCTAGTGGTAATCGATTTCACAAGGAAGTTGTGCGAGGGAGAAAACTTCTTCTAAATCGCACAGTAGTGGACCGCCAATCATCCAGATGGTATGGATGGTAACGCGAGTTTTGTCGCGATGTGCGATGGTGAAATTGAGCGGCAGGAATTAGTCCGAACAATTCCTCAGAGCACTCCCCGTGATAGATGCGATAAAATACGCAAAGAGATTGCAACATCTCTATGCAGTGCCAGTGTATCGAGCCGATCAGAAAGACCTCGGTCCTCGACGATTCGAACCGCTCTGCGCTGGATGCGGTCAAGTGGAAAGAGCTGGCACTGGGGTGCCCCGGCCCAGAGATGAGAACAGTATTCCATGTGAGGCCGAACTTGCGATTTGTAAAGTTGCAAGCGATGTGCCGGCACGAAATATTGTCTCGCTCTGCTGAGCACGCCAAGCTTTTTAGAGGCCAATTTAGCCTTCCCTTCCAAGTGACCACGAAACTGCATAATATTCGATATGTCGACACCGAGGATTCCTATGCAAGCTGTGGTAGCAAGGTTAGTGCCTTGAAACTGAGGAGAAACGACAAAGGGGTTCTTTTTAGCGGTAAAAGCGTAAACTTATGTCTTCTGGGGATTGAAATGGACTAGATTTAGTCGCCCCCAATCCGAGACTTTGTTCAGCAGACTCGACTTCAGACAAAAGTTTATCCCGGTACTCGGCGACGTTTTCCCGAGAAATATTGGCACGGCCGGTATATAAGACATCACCAGTGCTGTCGTCTGCATAGCAATGAATGTTATCAGTTTGCAACATATCATTGATATGCAGGAGAAACAGCGTTGGTGATAGCACGCAGCCTTGTGGAACACCAGCGTTGATAGGCTTGAAATCAGAGCATTCACCGTCTACTACGACCTTGATGCTCCGATCAGCAAGGAAACTGGTGATCCATTTGCATAATTTCTCGGGAAGCCCATAGGAAGGGAACTTCGAAAGAATCACTTTATACCAGACCCGATCGAAGGCCTTCGCTATGTCCAAACTAACATATGCCAATGCCTCCCCCTTGGACTCTACTGCCTCCGCCGATCAGCTGATGATTTTCTGGTCTACCTGACCAGAAAATCACCAGCTAATAGAGGCCGACGAAAGCCGTACTGGCGGTCACTAATCAACTGGTGATCCTCAAGGTACCTCATGAGCTGGCAGTTTATAATGGATTCCATTATTTTGGAGAACAAGGAGGTGATGGCGATAGTTGGACGGGTCTGAGCGGTCACCTTTTTTAGGGATCGGTTGGACTAAAGCTGTCTTCCATGAATTTGGGACTACGCCTTGGGAGTAGGAGTACCGGAAAAGACGCGTTAAAACCGGTGCCAACTCCGGAGCACACGTCTTCAGCACAATGGGATGAAATCTGTCGGGCCCACTCGACTTGCTGACGTCCAGGGAGAAGAGTGCTTTGCGAACCGAGCGCTGTGTAAACCACACATCCGGCATGGAGCACTCAAATCGCGGGATGGTCGGCGGTGTGTTCCCCCCCGTCATCTAGAGTCGAGTTGGACGCAAAGAGAGAGCTCAACAGATCAGCTTTCTCCTTTACGGCATGGGCCAGTGAGGGTATACTTGTCATAGTTGCCACGTTCTGTTCCACGGTACACGTACCTTGTTACATAGTAACAAGGTACGTGTACCGTGGAACTGAACAGTGGATCAGTCGCCTCTTACGAAACCCACGGAATAATAGGCTTAGCTTTCCATTTACTCCCATCGAGTTGGCGGTTGATACGTATTTTTACAGAAAAGTTACACTATTATAAGCACACACACAAAGTTACAATATGCGGAAGCGCGTAATTTTTTAGAAAAAAGTTATTGAAAATCAATTATTCTTGCATTGTTTATATCTAATTCTACCATAAAATAGACGCCATTTTTTAATGTCATTGTCGTCAGTAGGGATGTCGATTCTTTCCGAAAAAGGTCGATTTTTAAATCGATTCAAATCGTAAGCTGATGTATTGATTCATAAAAAAATCGATTTCTAAAATATCTATTTTTTTATGTTTGCATTTATAATGTAAATATAATTCCATTTTATGAAAAACAAGAAAGATACCATAATAAATGATCTCTTATTGAAATTTGTTTTATTTCAACAGTACCAATTAGGGCAGATAACAAATAAAATAGGTTAGGTTCAACTTATGTCAAAGAACCGAATTGATTGACCCCGACTCCATCTGGTACGAGTCTGTCCTACCCCTAGAATGGTTTTATAGAGCCGGAGGCGCGTAGGGGGAGCAGCCTCCGCCTGCTGTAACAAAGCACCTCGCCTCCGCAGCTTCGGCTTGTTGGTCGCCTTCGGCGACCAGCCTCAGCCGCTCCGGCTCGTCCGATGCCTGCGAATTGTTACGCTAAGGCGTAGAGGCTGCTCTTCCCGCAGCGCCGGAGACGTAGCAGTTTCAAAATAAGATACAGAAATCCTTCTGAATCAGTCCCCCTATATTTTATGATGAAGGGGACTTTTTTCTCATAAAATGGATTTATATTTACATTATAAATGCAAACATGAAAAAAATATAGATATTTTAGAAATCGATTTTTTGGGAATCGATACATCAACTTACAATTCGAATCTATTTAAAAAATCGATATTTTTCGGAAAGAATCGACATCCCTACTGACAATGACAATAAAAAAATGGCGTCAGTTTTATTGTAGGATTAGACATAAACAATGTAAGAATAATTGATTTTCAATAACTTTTTTCTCAAAAATTACGCGCTTCCGCATATTGTAACTTTGTGTGTGTGCTTATAATAGTGTAACTTTTCTGTAAAAATACGTATCAACCCCCGACTCGATGGGAGTAAATGGAAAGTCGTACCATCGTCTTGCAATCATCGTTACTCTAGCGCTCACTTGACCTTCATACAAATAATTCGATATTTTAATTGTTGATAATTTTTTATTTTTGGATAAGAACATAGTAATTACTCTAAGTTATTTTTACCATTTTTTTTAAAAATCGTCTTTGACCTGACCTATGTCCAATAAAATGTCAAGGTTGGTCAAGGTCTGAAGAGGTTAAAATAAAAGTAGAAGCCTTATTTACTCGTATTTTCAAAAACTGTAATAACGGTATATCATTATTTACATATATTTGCGAATCAAAATGCAGATGTGTTGTCACCCGTGAAGACCAAGATGGAATGCCTTTTTTTTCAGCGCTGCAACTTTTTGATTGTATTGGTTCATCACATTGAGTCATTGATTGACTCATTGTATAGATATTTGTTACTATTTCGTGCAAAAACTACTGAATGAATTTTAATGAAACTACAATAATATAGCCGATACATCTGAATAATTATAAGCTATAATTCATAAAGATATTTTGTAAATTGGCCAATATATAACGATAAATGTTGCGTCTGCGAGTTATTTTGGCGTGAACACGCATCACGCAAAAACCTGTGAACCGATTTGGATGAGACTTTCACTGGCAGACAACTGATGTTATAAGAGTAACTTAGGCTACTTTTTTATAGGGTTCCACGCGAGCGAAGTCGCGGGAACAGCAGCTAGTAGAGAATACATTCATTAACAATTTTGAATTCATAATAATGAGAACCAGCAAATAATTTACTAAAATTATTAACGGATATAATTTTATCACCGTACCCATATTTTGCCTCCCAGTATTTAGGCGTCCATTAATTACGCGGGGCGATTTTGCCGATTTTTCTAGCTTCCCCTTAATACTATTTTTATTGTGATTTTGTCAAAATGTGATTAACAATTTGGCAATGAGCTTAACAAACTAAAGTTTAAAAAAGAGTAGTAATAAAAGACGCATTGTAGCAATCGTTTTAATTGTAAAGATTTTATAATTTACATAAAGAGCGGCGTAACTCTGATACAAATAGTCGGGCGGATCAGCTTTTACCGACTACTGAGCAAAATATTTATTCTCTTTTATATTTATCATTCATTTAAATTCACTGACATTAATACTGAAAAAAATATAATTGATAATGAAATAGGAATGTAGATGCTGAACAACAAAAAATGAAGAGTACTGAAATATCAAACAATTTGTAACAAAAGGATAAACTGAGGTACGTTAATAATAAATATACTTGCGTAATAACCTAATCCTAATAAACGTGTTTATGTGACGTTCTCTACTATTATTAGTGCTACTTTGTGTTTCATTTTTTCTTTTTCTTGGTTTTTTGAGCAGCATCGGGTGTATTATCAGCCTTACGCTTGCCGGCGTTTGCACCTTTACCGGTTGCGTTGCCGCCTGGAGTATTTTGATTTGCATTCCCACTCTTCTTTTTCTTTTCGGCTCTTTCCTTTTCTTCCAGTTCTTGATTTTCCCTTTCAATTAATGTGATGAGGGTATTACACCTGGAGGAAAAATATAGTTTTAGACCATTTACAAAGTAATTAATTTGCTATAATTTGAAAACAATCTCGGCTTTATGTATCTTTTAAATATATATACACAAAGATAAAGAGTTGCTGCTTATTATTATCACCAATAAAATGATTACGACTGTTATATTTCATGTAGTAATATAAGTATACCCTAATATTAATTAAAGTAAATATTATATTCTACTGTTTTAATATTCACAACAACAGCCATAAGTACTTACAGTTAATTTATTTTAAATTGCATAGAAACAAAAAAAAGTAAATATTAGATAAATAACCTGCGCTGCAGCTCGACAGCAGTTCTGGATTTGAGGAACCAGTCGAATCTGAACTGCGGAGCAGCATGGACTGCGGCACGGAGCTCCTCATATACATTCTCCTTGTCGAAGCCCAGCTTGTGCAGCATACACACCAAAAACCTGGTTAATTTAACAAAGAATAATCAATAAATATAAACTTTATTTTGACCATTTCGGAATTCTCATTTTTGATCTAATAATTTTAAGAGTTGCAGAGGGTAAATCTTAATATATTACGAACTTCGAATAATATTCAATCAAGTAAAAACACAATCTCACACCTTGTGATCATTTCAGATTCTTCCTAAAATATGTCTGGCATACAACGAAAATAACAACAAATAAGTAATAACTACAAAAAGTTACCTGTCTTCCTCCTCCACATAATTTTTACCCTTGTTTGTGCCATATGAAATTCTAAGCTGGTGGAATGGTGCTCTATAACGCGCCATTTTCGCATCTAATGCTTTCTTAATAGAGGCTCTTCTCTGTATCTTTGCTTCCCCCCTCTCTATTTGTCCCATAATTCTATCAATGTCTTGAAGTTCATGGCATCTCTCCCAGAATACGGCAGAATATTCCATAACCTAATTATATAACAGAATTTATATTTGATATATGCCGTCATGCGATTACATACGTTTTTTGCTAAAAAAATGTTAAAGAAATATTTAATTTAAAAATTTCAATAATTTACCTCTTCCGGTGTCTTCCCTTCAACATCTTTTGCAATATTTTCGATATCATCTCTGCCATACTTTTCATTAGCTTTAATGAACTGATTAAAATCTCTTTTAGTCCAATTTGTGAAACCTAAAATTTAAACAGAAATATCATTCATGATCAATATCGAGCACCCTATTTCGTCCCGTGTAAAGGAGAGACTTAAGAAAGATAAGAAAGTCGTCACAGCCTTTCAAAGATAGCAGTTTACCATCTCATATATTAATCATAATTACAGCCCTACACAAAACCACTGTATGGTTTGTATAGTGAGTGTAGAGGAGCAAAGATCCTTTTACTGGTAATGAGAAATTTTGATTATAAATCGAGAACAGATGTAGGTGTCTGTGGGCCACAGAATTTAATTACAATCAGGTGCACTATGTTCTTGTTTATCATCCCTACTTGTATTAAAAAGCCATATGAGTTCGAAACATAGAATTGTGTGAAGATAAAAGGTGAATACGCAATTTAGCCCCATCCAAATTGTTTGTTTTAAACTCAGGCCGATTAATACCTTGAGTTAAAAGCTGTTCCTTCTCTTGGACTTCTTCCTCAGTTAACGCTTCGGCGTCATCGATTTTGCGTTGCTCCTCTCTCTGTATTTTAGCAGCGTCTGGACCAAGTTCTGGATTACGCGGAACTTTATATCTGTGAAAATATGTTTAATTTCATTAAAAAAAATATTTATATAAGAATATGTAAGACCATCAATTATACTTTGCTACTGTACAATACAATTGGTTTATTTTTTATTGAAATAACATTTTTTTTATATCAATCAATAAAAATTTAAAGTTTTTACTTTGTTTTATTAAGTACGTATTTTTTTTCTTACGTGGTAGAGCCATGTTGCAGCTATATTAGTAGTATAGCTGTAGCACGAATGGGTCGGCTTGACCGGGGAAGGACCACGCTCTCTCAAGAATCCAGCGTAAAATAGCAGCTTAACGCTTATGTGTTTCGTATGGTAAGTGTAGAGAACTGGAGACCCTTTTTACTGGCAAAGAGGCTTTCCATCTTAGTCCTCACGGGTGACAACGCATCTGCATCTTGAGTCTTTATTGAGGATAGATGTAGATGTCTATGGGTCACAGTAACCACTTACCATCAGGTGGACTGTGCTCGTTTGTCACCCAATCCTATAAAGAAAATAAGTATGAATGAAGTAGATTAAAATTTTTTTTTGTTCAACCAGGGAGCAGAAATGAAAGCTTGTCCTTAAAATAACTTATAAATAAAGTATAATTACTTATTTATTAAATAAGTATATTTTAATAGTATAATGAACACGCTTGTAAAAATGAAATAAAATCTTACCCAAGAGTTTTTCTATAGTGATAAATCTCTTGATCCAACAACTCAAACAGCCGAGGCGGGAAGAACTGGAAATCTTGAACTATCGGTTGTTTTGGAGGTCGTGGTGCCTGATTGGAAAAATATAGTGTAAAATAAAACAAAATTACGTTTTAAAATAAAATATAAACAAGTACAAGCCAAAATAAAGTAATTGATAAAACTAAAAGCTTATTACCATGCACATTGCGTTTTTAAATTATTACCTAGTTACTAAAAACATACCAAAACAGGAATAATGACAAACATACAAGTTTAAAGCAGAACGTCCACCGCAAACTAAACTAACTTAGTTTATCTTAGCTCGCAACTCGCATAGCTAAGCCAGTTTTTCATACATGTGCGTCTACCGCAAACTATGCCAGCTAAGCTAGGTAAAATAGCCAAACTAAGTCAAACTAACTACGCTAAGCGCCTCGTCCCCCCTCCCCCCTTTACCTTACCCCTCTGGCGTTGTTTGTTTAACCTTATTTTTCGGTAGACGTGCAACGATTTTCCAGATAGGTTAGTTTATTTCATTGAGCCTACTTTTCACATAGTTTAGTTCGCGGTGGACGTTCAGCTTAAGCCAGGCTTGATATATATATACTACAAGCTCTATACTATGTAAGTACGAATGTACGAAGTCTTTGATGTGGTTGATAGGACCACCATGCAAGTATTCTACGAAGTTATTCTCTATTGATGAATAGCTCAACTCAAAAATAGGTTAAATTATGTCGGATATATTGTTGTTGTTAGAAAATACAGTTGAATTGAGAAAACTCTAAGTTTTTTAAAGTAAAATAATAGTGAGTAAACTGAATGAAATTAACTTTAATTTTATATTTTGATAGAAAAGAAAATATTTTATACCTATATTCAAAATAAAACAAAGATTCTACATAAAGTTCAATACCATTGTTTATTTGTATCAATATTTAGTCGTACTTCAGTAATAGTTATTTAGGACCAAACAAGCAACAACACTTAATTATGACACATAATACAATATATTTATAAATTATAAAAAAAATATCAATCGCATATTATATTATCCATATAAATAATTATATAAAAACCATAACACTGAAATTGTTAAAAATAATTTATATTTTGCCAATAAAAAACCGATTGGATTTTTTTGGGATTATTTGATAATATACATACACGATACATGCAAGATTATTGTGATACACAAATATGATTTACACACATAAATAATATGCTACAGTATAAAGAGCTAATCAACGAAATAGAGCTAAACAATAAATAGATAAATAACGGACGACGGCGATGTTTCTTCATGGTTCTCCTTAGCTCTTTACACTTATTTACCTGTACCTTGGGCGCCTTGGGCTCGGAGACACGGAGTGCCTCCCTGAAGTACGCGTCCACTGCATAGTTCGCCTTACGTTCTCTCTTAGGAGGCTCTATCCAACTACCCATAGGAATAATTTTCTGCTTTTCTCTGTAGTCCTCGCCTAAACAGTAACACAGATCAGTTTACACATAACTTTCGACCACTGTTTTGAAATTGTCCATACCCACAAATATCTTCTTTTTTTTCATTTATACATTTCTACCCCCCATACAAGGTAATTACTTATAGCAAAGCAACCATTCAAATCCAGCGCCCACCATATTATCTGTCAAATCTTTCAAGAAATTAGTCAAATACTCTATTATTCTTAAAATCGCTTTCCATTTTTTTAAATTCATATCATTACAGGCCTACTGCTGAACATAGGCCACACCTAAGGAATACCACAAAAAGCGATCCTGAGCCACCTGCATCCATCGACTTCTTGCATGTCTTTCCAGGTCATCATTACATCTAGTGGGGGGTGTATCTACGCCCTACACTTGGCCTACCGGTATGAGGCTGCTACTCGAATCTTTCTTCCCCATCGGTTGTCGGTTCTTCGAGCTATATGGCCAACCCATTGACACTTTAGCTTACTAATCCGTTGGGCTTTGTCATTTATTCTGGTTCTACTGCGGATATTCTCTTTTTTAAGATATCCCTCTCAATATCTCAACGAGCGACCTTCAGCTTTCCTATACTGCCAGCAGTGAAGGACCACGTTTCAGATCCATAAAACATCATTGGCAACACGCCATGGTTGTACAATTTTGTTTTGAGGTATACCTGACGAGAAGATGTGTCGTAATCTCCCGAACATTGCCCAGCCGAGTTTAATACGTCGGTTGACCTCTCGGTCAAAGTTGGACTTGCTTGGTTTACGTGTAAAAATATCCGCTACCATCTTGTGGGTGTCGTAAGAGGCGAGAGGGAAACAAATCAGGAGACGGAAAGCAGCGTCTTCCTAATAACGATTAAAAATAAAAATAAAACGTCGGTTGCCAACCCGCTTGGCAAGCGTGGCAACTATGGCAATATCCCCCTTATAAGGCAATCTATGGGGAAGGCCTATGTTCAGAAGTGGACTTTAATAGGCTGTAACGGTAAACATACTCGTCGACAACTTCGAGCGTGACATGAATGTTACACATGGTCTTTGTTTTGACCATGTTTTTCTTTAAGATCTATCCGTTGGGAGACACTATTGAGGTCATTGGGTATAGTACTTAGGTCCTCCAGCGATTCTGCCATAAGTAATCAAAATAAAGTATATCGTCGGCAATTCGAAGGTGAGTGATGTACTCCCCATTGATGTTAATACTATATCCTTTCCCGTCCAGTAGCTTGAAAACGTTTTCCAATGCTGCGGTGAGGACTTTCGGGGATGTAACGTCACCCTGTCTTACACCTCTCTGCAGTTGGATGGGTTTCATACTAGTTTCCAGTAGTGGATTCCAAAGGTTATTAAAAGAGTTATTAAATATTATATTATTTAACAACTACTACAACCAGCATTAAAACGTTGTGAAATTATTATTTTACTGTTTTCCCATATCCAAATAATTATCTTGTTAGTTAAATTTTTATATTCTTCAGTTACCATGCTTGATGGATGAAGCTGATGATAAGGCATGCATTAGGAAGAACTTACCTTTTCCCTATTGGTGACACCACCATAATCTCTATAAAATAATCCTAATGGTCTATACACGCTTTAGAGAATGAACGAGAAATAATGTGGATGCCAAGCGCGAAGAAATCACAGGAAAATCACCAGTGAACATTTACTATGTAAACGGCATCCTCACATATTTGCACTGTTCAATCCAAAAATTGGTTACTTTAGCCATAACAGAGCATATCTTCGAAGACCTATTGATTAGGACACAGGAGCTACAAAGTCACGTAGCTGAAATAAGCACGGATGATATTATATTCCCAATGGTACTTTTGCCCTGTATTTTGTTACCGGATGAACAATTTCGTAACATTTCATTCATGTTCTTCAAAATATGATTAGTAATAACATAGCCAATTTTATCAAAACTATAAAAGTAAGCAAACAAATTAGATTCTACATAAAGTTCACGATTTGCACCTTCAAACTGGTACACTGAATCCGTAGTAGCGCCTGGTGTGTCCATAGAAAATGCCCTTAATGAAGACTCCCCGAGACTTTCCAACTTTTGTTTTAACTCCTCAGTCTGAAAGAATAGATTTCACATTAATTTAACCCTTATTACTTTATTTAAAACAACAAAAAAGAGATAGCTGTTTTTATTAAATCTAATAATAAAAAATAATGTTTGTTTATTCGTATTTTATGCGCTGCCAGACCGTCCGTCAGATTGCGCTAAAACTTTGTCAACTTATTTCTTGCACTTGTACAAAGGTTATAGGCATAGTACATTTAACTTACAGTAGGTGGCGCGCGTATCGTACAGTCGATAAATTTATTTGAAAGTTATACAATATCATTGTCGTTATCATTCGTATTTAATTAAACAATATAACTTCCAAATTTAAAATGATATTTCCACAATTCTTTCTTATGCGGCAATAACATTGTTAGTTATTGTTTTTAACACAATAATTAACAACACAGAACAAATTAGAAATAACATTGTAACAATCACTGTATTCCCAGAGGTTATTATCATCCATAAATAACAAACATTCGTTACTTTCACAATGTTTTCTGTGAAAATAATGAAGACAAATATAAAATGATCTAATAATAAATATATAATAATAATAATGTCCACCAGACCAAATTTTGGTTACAACTTTATCTTAAATTTTGGGTAGACGACCAGTCTCAACCGAGTGTAGCTATCTACGCAGGACAGGATTATAGTGCCCACGTGTATGCACAAGCACAGGTGCACTCTATTCGCTCACTTTCATATTCCGATGGAACGGTAACCCCGATACGACCGGAGAAAGTTCAAGTGCAGGACCGTGCGTGCGTTTACGTGCTTTCTGAGGCACGGGGGTAAAATAACGTCACCTTCTTGACTCCAGGCTGCTACTGTGAATTTCTTCACAGAAAATCGCAAATATCTGATTCTGGCCCAACCTAGGATTCGAACACGGGACCTCATGATCAGCGATCGCGTTGGAAACCACTAGACCAAAGAGCAGCAGTATATACCTCATTAGTCCAGTGGTCTAAAACATGCCATTGACCTAATAAGAAAACTAACTGAAGCTTCATTATACAAAATTACTAGCTGACCCGGCAAACATTGTTTTGCCATATACATTATTTCTAAGAAATATTTTTTAGTTATAAAAATCGCGTTGTAAAAACAGGGGCTGATCATAGAAGGGTGAAAATTTGAAGTTTTATGTATTTTTCAATGCTAAATCATAATAAAATACAAATAATTTTTTTTTTGTCAAAAACAAAAAAAATATTTAGGGGTGGGTCACCCTTATCATTTGAGGGTTTGAAAAATAGACGTTGGCCGATTCTCAGACTTACCTGATAGGCACACAAAATTTCATACAAATCGGTTCAGCCGTTTCGGAGGAGTTTGGTAACAAACACCGCGACACGAGAATTTTATATATTAGATAAACCAAAAAAGTATTCATGTGGGATCAGGGTGTTTGATTACCTATTTTATTTTGAACAATAGCAACCTAATGCTATCAAAATTAATATTAAGTCAGTATCATATTTGATGTTTATGTAAACAAAGATTTTAGGCTACTTAAAGTGGTAAATTGTAGTGTATTGATAGTGTTAACATGTTACCTTGACTTCACCTTTAGCCAAAATAGTGTCAATATCTTCATCTGTAATCTCGGAGTCCTTGGAAGAGAAAACATGATTTGCACCATGTCTGATCATGTTAAGCATTTCATCTTTATTCAGCTGATTCTTAGTATCGACAAGACGTCCTGATTGTATAACCAACTTGTCTAAGCGTAGCTTCACTTCAGCCCTCTCCACAATTTTCTCTTCAACTGTATTATCTGTGATAAGTCTGAATACTCGCACCTGTTAAATATTTTAATAAAACATCTTCAATTGCTGTCAATGGAAATAGTGGGATTAGCATATCATATTTCATGGCACGCCAATAAATAGCAAGCTCGCAATCTTCTCGTGATGAATGGCCACTACAATCCATCTATACTAATATAACAAGGTGTTTGTTTAAACAAATCTCTGGAACTACCAGTCCGATTTCACAAATTCTTTTGTATAATATAGCCAGCTTCATGAGGAATAGCATAGGCTATCTAGCATTAGGCTACACCTGTCAGCTAGCCTTAAATATTGATTTTTGTTAAGCAATTCAGAATAAAAAGCGCACCCGAAATGAATTATCCGCGTGCGCTGGCGTAATAGTGATACGTAAATACAATGTTCTACAAAAATATAGATTTTTACTCCATCTAAAAAAAAGCCCGCGGTACCATATCCCTATTTCTTATACATAAGCCACAATAAGGTATTTTGTTGCAAAAATAATAATTATAAAGTGCTTTATGAGCGTTATTATTAGGCATGACATATTAACACTTTCACTGTCCGGTTTGCAGACACAATAGTAAGACAATAGCAATGACCTATATGTAGTGCACGGGACAGCGAAAGAGTTAATCCCTAGGAACGGAAGTTACTACATTATCAAGACAATTTTATGAAGATAAACTTTGGTCTTTACAGCATGTTATTTTTATGCATAGTTTAAGAGATAATGAAAAATTTAAATAATTCAACACTCGGCTCAGCGCACTAACGACGCATAAGCCCTAGCCGCTCGATGACAACCGAGAGAAACCAGCAGTGAATGAGGTTACTATAATCGTTTTAGATAAAAAATTAGCAAAAGTAATGAGTATTTTTATTTATCGGCATATGTACGTTATACAGCGAAGTTAAATTTTATCCACTCTCCCTGATGAACGTCTCCCACCCCCCACCCCGCGGCAGTGTCACGAATCGCAGTTTTTTTTTCAGTTTTAAAGAAAACAGTACACGATACATGAAAAGTGTGTAGTCTGAGGGAGAGTGGATAAAATGTAACTTTGTTCTATGACATACATAATATGCCGATAGATAAAAGTGCTGCATTAATTTTGCCAATTTTTCCATACAATAATACCATACAGCTTTGATAACTCCAAATAAAACGTTGATACAGCTGAGGACTAAGATGGAAGCCTCATGCTATATATATATATATATACAACAACAGGTACACTATTGCCTAGAAGCATACCTTCCCAGAACTAACTAGCAGACTTTTGGGCAGAAAAGAAGCCCTAGAAGTTATGTTACATTAGTCAATTTATCAGTTTATCGATCAATCTAACCTGTTTTTTCTGTCCAATACGATGAGCTCTGTCCATAGCTTGAAGGTCCATCTGTGGATTCCAATCGGAATCGTAAATGATGACGACATCAGCCGATGTTAAGTTGATACCCAAACCGCCAGCTCTCGTTGACAGCATGAAGATGAATTTCTCGCTTCCCTCTGCATTGTACTCTTCTATTTGTCTGTTTCTATCTTCGTGGGGGGTTTGACCGTCTAAACGGCAATACTGCAAAATGTTTAAATCAAAATAAAACCCTAATATATTTAATTTGGAAAGGTCTGAATATCAGACTTGTTTAGTAACAAAAATGTTAGCCAGATTTTTTTACAGGATTATTCTTTATCTGTCTATACAGATAAAGAACAATAATACTTAACATCAGATTTTTATCAAATAAGCAATTTTAATAAAAAAGTCATCAAAATGCACCTCACCTTATACTGTCTCCATAGGCAATAATCCTCAAGTATATCTAGCATCCTTGTCATCTGTGAGAATATGAGCACTCTCGAATCTTGTTCACGCAATTTTGGCAGCAGTTTATCCAGAATCGCAAGTTTGCCACAGTTGTACACCAAATGCTCATCCGTTGTGTATGGAGGTCCAGGTTCGGCACCATCGAATAGGTATGGGTGATTGCAACATTTACGCAATTGCATGAGGATGTTTTGTAACCGCATTTTCTCCACTTTTCCAGCTCCATTCACTTAAAACCAACATTTTTCGTCCATAAATACGAAAATATAACTAAAAATTATGTGCGATATTGATTTTGAAATCAAATAATACAAGGAAAGGCTGGCATAATCAAATCAGTTTTTTACTCTACTTTTTTTTACAGTCTGACCCAAAATGGATTTTTTGTAAAATGAAACTGAAAATTTTAAGTTAATATATAAAACTGTAGTTAGTTAAAAACGAAATTCGGTCGGAGTCTACTATTTTTTACAGGTAAATGAAAAACAAAACGATATAATAATTTGGTTTTTTTTTTTTCAGAAATTACTATAATACTTCTAATTAGATAGAATATTTGTGAGGTTACTAAACAAAGTCCTCACTAAAATAACTTTAACTAATAAGCATTTATTTGTGCCATAACTTAAACCATTCTCTACGAGTGAATTTTAGTAGAGATTGCAAATTTTTCTAATTTAATGTTATAACTATTTCTGAAATTACTTAAAATTTATTCTGTACTACTAGATTTTTGTAATTTTACAAATGAATATTGGTCTTCAATCACAAAATATTTTCTTGTATAATTGTTAAAGTTAAAATTTTTCAAATAATACAAAATGTTTTAAAATAATACAATAAAATAATAATATGTCAAACCTGTCTTTTATGTAACCAAGAGGTAGCTTTTCCGGGTTAACATTTCGAAAAACCTACCTAGAATGATTTTGTGTAGTGCATCAACTATTTGTGGAAACAATGTAGCAAGAGCTTTGCTGATGATGATACACATCTCAAGTTATTTTGTCTACTACGGCGCCTTAACGACTACTACCTATCGTCAGCTACAGGTACTATCGTCAACCGTCCACTGGGTTGTTATTGTGGCTTGTGTATCTAACGCCAAAATATTTAAAAAAAAATTTTTTGTGAGAGCAGTTTACTCCTCTTTGTTGCATACAGATATGTTAGTTATTTTTATTATGATGAAAGCCTTGAAAAATTAAAAAAGAATTAAAATAATTTCATTAAAATAGGGATTGTAAAAAATAACTTACCCACGTCAATGTCCTTCATCAGTACTTTAGTATACCATTCTCTCTGCATTTTACTTAATCCTACATAAACTTTTACTTCTTTCTTGGGTTTAAGTTTTTTTTCTACTTCTGATTTAAGGCGTCTCAACAAGAACGGTCTTAATACGGCGTGCAACCGCGAAACAAGTTGATTGTCACCAAGAGCTGCATTTGTATTAAACCAAGAATCAAAATCCTAAAAAATATATACAAAACTTTTAAAAACGACACAGTATGCAGTATAATTTTTGTTAATTTGTCAATTGTTGTTGTACTAAACACAATATAATTTAAATTCAAGAAATGCATTTTATCGAAAATACTTACATCAGAGCTGTTGAATACGTCCGGTAAAAGGAAATTAAGTAACGCCCATAATTCATGAAGATTGTTTTGTAATGGAGTACCAGTTAACAGTAATCTATTCATACTCTTAAACTCACGAAGAAGCTCTGAGAGCTTCGACTTCTCGTTTTTAATACGATGAGCCTCATCAATAACCATATAACGCCAGTTGAACTTTTTAAACACAGATTTCTCTCTAATGATCATTTCGTAGGATGTTATACAGACATCCCAATTACCCGGCATAAGTGTTTCACGAATAAATGTATTCTGTAAAAAAATTAAAGTGACATATAAAGTTCAATTGGTTAACATTAACAGACATAGGTGGAACTGAGTCACATGGAGATAACCTTAAATGATCTTGGCATGTTTGAATATTTATCTCCCGTAAATTCATAAATGATGGAAAGCCTCATAATCATATTATTATTGGCCTCAATGGCTAACTATACTAGCTCTTCATGTGCCCTATAAACTGGAATACAACAATAGATGCATTCCTGCTTAGCAGTAGACATTGGTTAGAAAGTTACAAGATGCCTGGGAGGATTCCTTGAAAGAAATACTCCATTAGAAACATCCATCAGAAAAGAAGTCCTACCTATAGTCTATTCGCGTTAAGAAAACGCAAAAAAATTTTGAAAGTCAAGTTCATGAAGTGGACACAACCGTATGGTTGTGTCCACTTCACCAGCAAAATAAAGAAATAGCAAAAATTAAAACAATGATTACCCTAGTCTCTTGATCACCGATTAAGCACACAGCCTTGAGTGACGGGCACCATTTCTTGAATTCGTTCATCCAATTTGTTAAAGTTGATTTTGGAACTATAACAATATGAGGACCAGGAACGTTCCTAATAAAAGATATTGTCAATTATTGTGAAAATATTAATTAAAAAATAATATAATGATTTACTGTACAACATAGTTAAAGGTTAAGGCTCACCTAAAATTTTTCATGTAACCCAAGAGGGAAATGGTTTGTAAGGTTTTACCAAGACCCATCTCATCAGCTAAAATTCCATTGATACCATTTTCATAAAGCGAAATCATCCAATTGAGGCCACGTACTTGGTAATCACGCATTTCACCATTTTTAATGTATGGTGGCGAAGCTTCAAATCGAAATATTGTTTTTTGTTTTATGTTTGTTTCAGCCAAAAGCTCTTCATCTTCTTCTTGTTCTGTTTTTCGATGACGATGGCTAAAAATATCGCACTTTTGATATAAAACTTTAAAAGTTAAATAATTCACACATAACATTGTCAACTTTTTAAAATATTTTGCTATGTTAAGAGACACCGCACACTGCAGACTTTCTATCGGGCGAGAGTTTAGTCGTTTTCTTAATCAGTGTTTGAGATGTATGCAACAAGTGCGCATATTATAACGATTAGTTATCGGCCGATAAGTTAGTTTGAAGGGCTACACGATTCCCTTCAAACTAAATTGTTGGTCAACTATCAGCCAACTGTTAAATCAGTACGGCGCTCCTCGACGCGGGTGTACACGCCGATTATTTAGTCGAAAAGAAGTAGCTGACAATGTTGTCAGCTACTTCTTTTGTCCAGAGGAAGATGATCAGTGAGGCTATGGAGTAGCCAAGACCCTCATGCGGCGGACCCAGTCTTCAGAGGCAAATCCATCTATACAGAAGTTGTCCTAAAGCTGTGGTGCGACGACCAAAAGGCTTTGGTTGACGGGGAATATCGCTACCCTCGACCTTAAAACCATCACTTCGCGTTGGTCATCAAGAAACAGTCAGAGATACCACAAAGGGTTAAATGTGATATCCTCATCCCAGACGCCCAGGGGCCTGGAAAGACTCACGCGACATTGGTCGTGTGCTGGCGTACCAGAACCACTGGGTAAATATAAAAGATTGGCTGTTACTCAAAGCCGACAAACAGACGGACGGGTGGTTCCTCGTTGTTTCGGTGCCGGAGGACCACATCCTGACCCTGTTGAAAGCCGGTCGCCGCCTCGCATGTGTATGTGGGTCGTAAAATTCCAGGGTCGTGGAGGTAATTTCATGATACTCTACGGAGCAAAGAGACGGAAAGCAACCCAGAAGCCACGGACACTGGCGCCATGGACACCGGGCAGCAGGATCACTGGACCCCAAGACCAGTGACAAAATTGCCTGCACAATCGAGTCGAAGCCACGAGCGGAGATCGAGCTCAGCGGCAGTTTACCGAGTGACGAGGAGGGCTACACTTTGCCGTCCAACTCCGACTCGGTGGCTGATGATGTGACCCGAGATCTGCTGGCAGGCTTATTTTTGGGCGGGGACGGGTAGGACGCGATCAATGATGGTGTGCCTTCCGCCCAAAACTAGCCTCATGCAGGCCAAACTCCATCAAAGAGAAACAGAGTTGGCTCAATTACGCAACCACTTGCGGCTCAACGGACGGCCATAGCCCTAATCCAAGAGCCTTGGGTTGGGGCCGGTAAAAGGCCAAATTACAACCTAACAGGTAAGTTATTCTAAAACTCTGAGCACGACAAGGCTAGAGCGTGTAAAGATTGTTGCATTGTGCACAACCATTATCAGATTTCTGTTCCACAGACATGTATGCCATAGCATTACAAAACACACAGAAGGGTGTAACATGCCGGAGAAAGACACATCTCCCCAGGTTTTTTTACAGTATAAGGCTGACAATCGAGCACACAGTCCACCTGATGGTAAGTGGTTACTGTGGGCCATAGACATCTACATCTATCTTCGATTACGAATCAAAATGCAGATGCGTCACCCGTGAGGACTAAGATGGAATGCCTCATTTCGAGTAAAAAGGGTCTCCAGTTCTTTACACCATACGAAGCACAGCAGCGTTAAGCTGCTATTTTACACTGGTATTCTGTGAGAGCGTGGTCTTTCCCCGGTCGAGCCGACCCATTCGTGCTACAACCATGACATAGCTGTAGCATGGCTCTACCAGGTATAAAAGGTTGTGATCGGGATAGACTCCAATGCGCATCATCCCCTCTGGGGAATGGAAAAATCCAATGAACGAGGTAATGTGTTAATTGAACATTATTTAGCACTAACTTAACAATTTTAAATACACGTTCCGAACCAACCTTCATTAACAAAGGTTGTCAAAAAATAATCAACATTATTACACTTGTAACAAAAGGAGCAGCTAAACTAATTACGGAATGGCATGTATGGAGGCTTCATGCTCAGACCGTATTGACCGTAGTACGAAACGGAACGGTTTAAAGCCCTTTTGATTTGTCGCCATAATGAGAGCTCTTAAATATGTTCCTAGGGGGTGGAGGGAAGTGAGTCACATTCATAACCAAACCAGGTAAGAGCGACTACAGATGCTAAATCTTATAGACCCATTAGCCTCAAATCTTCTCTCCTAGAAACAATGGAGAAGATGTGTGAAAGGGAATTAAGGGGGACATAAAGTTGAACGGCACTGATTGACTGGATAATAAACATGCTCAGTACATGTTTACGACCAGTCAAACAGACCCAGACCTGACATTACTGGTCTCTGGAAAGACAGCAAGCATGGTGTGCGACCTGACCCAAGCAGCTCTGCGTATAGTGGAGAGATGTTGCAAGGAATATGACTTAATGGTTAACTCAAATAAAACGGTTCTAGTAATGTTCACACAAAAGTGATTGCTGAATAACTATCACCTCCCAAGTCTTCAGTGCATAATTCCAGCTATCCTCTGAGGTAAAAGATTTAGGTCTCACCTTGGACAATAAACTGAACTAGAATAAACACATAGAAAACAAAATCAACAAGGCTAGTATAACTTTCTGGCAATGTAAAAACATGATTGGTAAACGATGGGGTTTGACACCAAAAATTAAACTATGGCTACCAAATCGTGATTCGGCCCATGATCACATACGGTGCTCTGGTATGGTGAACCAAAACAAATGAAGCCACCACAGTTAAGAAGCTTCAGTCTTACCAGATACTGGCATGTATGGCTGCTACGGGCTGCATAAAAACTACACCAACAGCACCCTTAGAAGCTATGCTGGAGCTAACCCCGCTTCACCTACACATAAAACAAGAAGCAACTTTAGCTGCCATCAGACTCAAGACCCTAAATATATGGAATAACAGTAGAATCCCATATACAGGTATAATTGACAGAATTTACTAAAAAATTCCCATCTTACAGCCAAATACAATAATATCCCTAAACAACTTGTGTTTGATAAGAAATACAGGATACAATTAATGAACCTAACCAGCCAGAAGGTTTAAACACAAAAAAACGCAGAATTTTCACAGAAGGATCCAAAACTAATGAGGGTACAGGATCCGGAACTTTCTCGGAAGACCTTAATATCCATATATGTACACTGCTGGGTACCCACAACACAGTCTTTCAGGCAGAATGTATGGGTATCATCCAAGCGGCCATAGCAATAGATACTAGGAAAATAAAAGACTCCTCCATCGGAATACTGAGCGACAGCATGGCGGTACTACAAGCTCTGAGTTGCAATGTGTTAACAAGGGACTAATATATGAATGCCATCAATGACTAAATGAGATATGTTAACACAACAATGACTCTTCAATGGATAAAGGGACACAGTGGAACCAGGGGCAACGACCCAGCAGACGAACTGGCCAGGAGAGGATCGGCTCTGGCCACTATAAGGTTAGAACCAATCATACCAATCCCCTTTGGTAACATTCATTCACTGGTATGTAAAAACTTCACTAACCCACATGCAGGTTTGGAAAGACTTTAGACTAGACAAGCTAGGGAGGCCATGCCTGAAATAAACATTGTTAACCAAGGTTCTAATGAAATTGAACAAGCCACAGATCAGAATAGTAACAAGTGCTATCACAGAACATAGCTTGTTTAATAAACATTTATTTATTATAGATGTTACAGATAGTCCCCTGTGCAGGGCATGTATGGGGGAAGAAGAAACGGCACCCCACGTCTTGCTAACATGTCCGGAGGTAGCGGCATATAGGGCTAAACATCTCAACACACCAAGAGCACTCCCCGAAGTTGCTCGCAACATCAAAGGACTGTTGAACTTCTTCAGGGAGATTTCATGGTTCAAATAATTGCATTATTCCTGCCCACACACAAAATACACACTTAAATGTGGAGTTCCAGATAACAGCCCGACATTATCTTATCTTGTCATTTAAATATTGCATGTTTTGATGTATATGTTGATCTTAATAATTTATGTTAAATAAAATAAATTAACTATAAACTGAATGAATAATAAAAACATACAAACGTTTCCAATTCAAATAGCTTCTTGTAGCACTGCATAGTTTTAGTGTATACATACAATCTCATATGGATTGCACCACCACCACATTGCAGCCACACTGCCACAAGTATGTGTATAATATATGATGCTTAGTATCATGACACCAGGTCAGAGTTCACACATGCATAAAATCACTACATTTTTTAATATATTGGAGTGCATCAATTTTAATTACTTTATTATTTTAGTGAAAGAAGATGTTATGAGATAAGACTGACAATTCTTAGAAAAATGTTAAGGTGCATCATGAAATATGTGTTATTTTAATTTGCAAATTTGAAATAATCTATACAAATAAATAAAATTGAAGTGTCTGTTTGTAATGTTAAAATTACAGCTTTTTAGTAAACGCATATGAAAGTATATACCATACTAATAACAAAAAAAAACAATTTTTAAAATTTTTGTCCATCTGTCTGTCTGTTTGTTCCGGCTTATCTCTAAAACGGCTCACCGATTTTGACCGGACTTTCACTGACAGAAACTTGATGTTATAAGGAATAACTTAGGATACTTTAATTTTAGAAAAATAATTAGACCCATGAAATCATAGTAAATTCCATGTGGGCAAAGTCACGGGGGCCAGCTAGTTTCCAATAAAGAAGAAACATAATTATAATATGGTATATATTGTCTTTATTAAATTTATGTAGAAATGGTAGACCACGAAATAAGTAATTTGTCAATTACGTTTTCTGTGAAACTGTTATGATTATTTACTACAAAGTTATCATATGATAATGAAATTCAAGTGAAAACTAAATTAAGTACAGATTCTGTTGTCCTTCTATACTAAGTTGTGACTGCCACCTTACTAATCAACACCAAAATTATCACTTATGGTGCGGCTATAACACAGCTCTGGTCCAATTTGGATGTAAATATAAAAATATTGCAATGTGATTCAGGTGCTACTGCAGTTAATAAACCAGATTGTCTACTTGAAGCCTAAGAATGCAGCAACATTCTTTAAGAGTTTAACATTTATAGTAGGCAGTTATATAAAAAAATAAACAAGTATAGTTATCACAAACCATTACTGATTATTTTATCCACAAGTTACTAAACAATAACGAAAAGATTTATTTCTTTAAATGATGAATGCAATGCAATAAAAATTACTACAATATCCCTTTACAACCGGAGATTTTTTTTTCAGATTCTAACCATAAAACTTTTATGTTGCCTTCCTACTAGGTATATAGAGCTCAAAAAAATCAGTTAAAAAAATCTCGAGGTCATACCTTACCCACAAATCCACCCGCACGATCGTGAGTCGCAGGTCGTACACGACATAGTCACGATCGTGAGGGTAATTTAAACTAGCCCTATGTTTTGGTACTTTAAAGAATAATTAAAAAAGCTTATACTTAATCAGCCTCTTTATTAATTATTTAGTTATTTTAATCATTCAGTCTCATATAATTTTTTTTTAGAACTAAACATTAATTCGTGCCTTTGGCAACATGATACAAAATTTTCTGTAAAATATATACAAAACAAAACAAACTTTTAAAGTTGTACGCTACAATAAAAATATAATTTTAATTAATGCTTCTAAAGCCTCCGTCTCCGTTTGAATGCTAATAAAACTAAGGTTCTGGTATTTGAAAGGGACGAAGAGAGAACGAAGTGTGAAATATGGGTAAATCAGGAATGTCTAGAACAGGTAAATGAAATTGTATACTTGGGGAGTGCTTTTAGCCGGGATGGAAGATGTGATTTAGATGTGGACAGGCGTGTCGCTGCCGGGAACAAAGTCAATGGTGCCCTGACTGCGTTAGTCAAAAGGCAAGGCGTAGCGAAGAGTGCACGCCTTGCAATACATAACGCAGTGTTGGTACCGACTTTGTTATATGGCAGCGAAACCTGGGTATGCCAGAAGAAGCATAAAAGTAAGTTGAATGCAGTGGAGATGCGATCTCTTCGTAAAATGTGCGGCGTTACTATGGCCGACCGAAAGCGAAACGAAGAGATTCGCAATATGGCAGGTTTGAAAGATGACCTTATCACAAAAATTGATAAGAGCGTGCTTCGGTGGTTTGGGCACGTTGAGCGAATGAGTGAAGACCGAATGGTGAAGAAAATATATAGCGCGAAAGTTAATATTAAAAGGTGTCGAGGTAGACCGAGACTAACTTTCGAAGACCATGTGAGCAAATTGCTCGAAGAGGGTAGGGTCAAGAGTACTCGGATACCTAGACGTGCATGTATGAAGAAGATAATGAATCTGAAAGAAGCGAAAGAGATATGTAAGGATCGTGACACTTGGCGATCTGTTCTCTCTGGCTACCCCGTCAGGGATTGTGCGTGAAGATAAGCTTCTAAAGCAAATCAGGAATAAAGAAATATCAGATCATCCTCTGGTATGGTAAGACTTGAAACACTCTTTGCCACGTGCGATACACAAATACGTGTCGCATTTTGTGCAGCGTACCTTTGTGCGACTGGTACAATTTTCGTACCTGCACATTCTAGGTGCTTTTATTTCGTCGAACACTGGAAAATGTTCGTATCCATCATACCACTTTGATTCAGACGGCTTGTTTGCTGGTCTGTACTGTCTTTTCGGAAGAGGAGATTCATTTTCATCCAGCGGCGGTTCATTTTCAATATTGCTCGTCGATGGCCGGTTTCTTGCCGGCAAACTTGACAATCCATCAGCAATGTTCATGCGGAAGTCTAACAAGGGCAAAATTTCCCTCCTGCTTAATTTATTTGCCATACAATCATTACGATACAGTCGCCAAGAATTGACAATTGCCAAGTCAAGAAAGTGTATCAGTACTTTCAGTGTCCATTTCTTTGTTTTGATGAATGTCCGATAATACTCCATCTGCTGGTCCAGAACATCAACACCCCCCATGTGTTGGTTGTAATGCTCGACTACTTTTGGGACAGGTACGTCTACGTACATCTTCAAGTGTTTTTCCCATCTCTTGACGATTGAAGATGAGGACGAGCCGGTGCAGTTTGACGCCATTAGAACGGACTTATTGTCTTTCCATTTGACGACGACAGTCGGTCCGCAAACGTACTGCTGTGATTCTCCGCGAGCCATTCTAGCATCTGGTTTAAATTTAATCGCAGTACGGTCAGGGATCCTGTTGAACATGATTGTTCCCGTACTGTGAAGATTCCTCTTTGTCATCTCTTCAATTAGCGGAACAGTCGTAAAATATCTGTCGTGGTAGACACAGCTTCCAGGCGGTACACTTTTCACCAGATGCAGAACCACAGAAGCTCCAAGTCCAAGAGATGTATCTGCAAACATGGTTTTAGCTCCTCGATATATGTCGAAGTCTAGCATCAAGCCTTCACTTGAGGTCAGCACAAAGTTCTTCAAACCCACCGGGCGCGGCTTATTTCGGACTACCTGGCGAAGTACACATCTGCCAGTAAATGGTACCATTTGCTCGTCAATGGAGTAGAAGCCAGGAACTGTTTCAAGTTTGTTACAGGCTAATTTTAACCGGTCAATCATCGGCTGTACTTTCCACAGTGGATTGTTACTATTACTTGGCGGAGCTTCATCAGCATCTACGATGTGCAATGCATTGCGGACAGTCAAGAACCTGTCACGAGCCATTTGTTGAGTTATTATATCCAGTTTTATTCCACCTCTCCAATACATCGGGACACGGGGGTAGGGAATACATCCAATGATGATGTGTATTGAAAAAACTCTGGCTACTTCAACTGTTGTAAGTTTCAGTTCCAGGCCCGTTTTTCTGTGATGGTACATGTTTGTGCATCTGGCAATTTCATCAAAAAACTCTCTGTTGAAATAGTCGGAGAAATACTCCATTGGAGTCCTGACCGGAGTAACGGGCAAGGGAGCATAGTCATGACTACAATCGTCGAAAGGTACCTGCTTCCAAACTCTCTTTCGAGAAGGTGGCCGTAAAGATCGAGGGCGCGGAGTTAGTTGTGATGGTCCAGGAGTATCTTGCATCGGTTCCGGCTCCGGTGCTACAGACAGCTGTGGTTCAGGCTCTGGATCATCCAACTGAAGATTTTCGAAAGTGCTGGGTTGGATTTCGTCGTCGTCGTCCTCAAAATCTTCGATGTCGGAGAAGTTTCCATCGCCCAGCAATTGTATAACTTGATATTCGTTCAAACTTCTGCCTAAAACGTTAAAAAAAGTAACTATTAATTACAAAATCTATGTAAAAACAATCATCAAGTACAGTACCCACTCCCGAATAATGTTTCGGTAGTACAACCCGAGCCGCACGATCGTAGCGGTCGTACTTTATAACGTAATTCTAACGAAACCGTAAAGGTCAGCACAAAATCAAAATAATCTAGGTATTGGGTTATCTTTTAACTTTAAAATAATTATAAACCACAATGAAATACTTTCAAATTACTATTAAAAATAATTACTTACCCGCGGCGCGGCGAGGATCGAAAAACGCAGCCATCTTTCATCTCAACTCACAGGTGACTGACTGCTCCCATCCCACCCGTATCTATTTTCCGCGCGTAAAATACACCACGCGAACGATCGACGCCGGTTGCGTTCGGAAAAAGTAAACCGTTTGGTGCCAGTATTTTTTTGAATTTAAACTCACGCTCGTATCAGTCCGAGTGTAAAGGGATATACTATTACAAAGAGGTAGTATGCAACCATAAATTATACTTACTCTCCAGTAGATCCAGATAGTTCAGGTTCTTTGATCTTTTTAGGTCGCCCAGCTTTAGCTTTTGGAGGACTACTTCCAGACTTTGAAGTATTAGTCATAAAGTGTGAAAAAATTTCAGTTTGTTTTAATAAAAACTCAAATCTTTTGGAACGATCGGTTTCAATTTTACTTTCAAAGTCGCCCTCTTTACCTCTGGAAGAAGTTGTGTCACTTGACGACTCGTTCTAGAATTAATACAGAGTATGAAATATTTAAACACATATTTGAAACAAAGTAACAGAAAAACCAATATATTAATATAAATAATTAAATGAAACACTTACGGAATTTTCTCCGACCTCTGCAACATCTATAGCTTCTTCCGTGTTAGACATTTTCAATTGTATAAAAAATTATCGTACAATAATTTATTTCCTACTATATTCTAGAAATTTCTACTGTATTCAATAAACACAGTTTTCATATTTTAAACCGATTATCAAGTTATAAATACGCAATATGTAAAGAAGTATCCTAAAAAAACGGCAGACGATGAGATTCACACACAGAATAAATTTTTTGACATTTGTGAGTTTGTGACATGACGCCGGTGCACGGGCGCGAAAACAGTGCTGCTGCTTACGCTTGGGCATAAATAATCGATATATCGAATATCGATATTTACTCATAAAATATCGATATATATTAGATATTTTAAATCTCGATATATCGATATTAATTTTAGAGTGTCGAATTCTTATCAATTTCGATATATTTTTGTATTAATGGACCAAACATTAAGTAACAAAAAAGCAGCTACAAAAGCATTCATGTACAGATGTCGTATTTTTTTTCAAAAGAGGCCAATGCCAAAAGCCAATGTTCACGAGTTTTTGTGGGGCTATCCACATGTTGGCCGTAATTAGTTTTCGTTGGGAATTGGAACGATATGAACGACGTAGAAGTTATTGCAGCTTCAGTTATTTATTTAATGAGTGCATATAATTAGCATGTCAGTGTACTCCGCAGTAAAGTTGTAAAAAAGAAGAAGCAGTGACATTGTCGAAATTATTTTGAAGTTGCAACTTAATTAAAACATAACATCTCACCGGAACGGAAACCAAGCTGTAACTGACATAGATGACTATGACTAACATGTGGACGCGACTTACCGAATGCAGGCGAGCGCCTTTGATTAGTGCGGAAAAACCGACACTGTTCGGAAGTGGACAAGTCGTAGCGAGCGATCCCGAGTAGCGGCAAGGCATATCGATATATATATCGGAAATGACAACAGGAGATCCCACTGCTGATATCGGAGAATTCAACAGGAGATCCCAATTTTGATCTCGGAAATACATCAGGATAGCGATAACTGTTAAAAATAAAAAGTGTGAGAGCGGATGTTCAACTTGCTCTCGTGCTTACGCAATTAATCATTATCAGTAATAAGACAACGTAACGCACTATACATTCTGTATAGTGAAATTACAGTTCGACCACACCGTAACACGTCTCCGCCACAATTACACACCAATGTAACGTGAGGTACGTAATTACATGATAACACCAAAATATGTAAACCGACAGCAACACTACTTATCTCAATGTAACACAGGGCAGCCTCTCAGCAACACCAATCCTCTTTGCCTGCACTAGAAGAATTACAACAACGAACAGAACCACGACACTATATTAGCACTAGTAGAATGACCACACTCGTTGAACGACTTAGGCGGAATCTCTCGCGCACGGCACCTACAGTGAACTTTATACTGCACAAACAAGTGGGAGTTTCTCGATATACCCTCCATTGCACCTCAATCTAACCGGGTATTTTATAGACTCTCCGACACGGCCATCCTGACGTACGACCGTCATCGGGCGTGTATTTTCATGCATTCCTGTAACAAACACCAATTCGCCCGCTCGTCTATCCTGACATGAGTGGGTACATATTATTAGTTCGCAAAACTAAATTGTTAGATAGCGCTGCTTGTTGCACTATGGCACCATCAATCCACGACACGGCCATCTCCGACTAGCATCCGTCCTCGGTTGCAGTACCTGTAGACAAAATATGCTCAGAGATTAATCTAGCTCTGCTATTCTGCTAATAGAAACAAGGTCGATTCCAAATGGTACTTTACTTCTCCTAAGTCTAAGTACAATAGTCAACTGTCATAATTGACAATGCCTTGTCATTAAGGCTTCATACACAGTGCTTCTTGCACAACATGATTTATTGTGAAAGGTCCGATCAACAAGTTCTAACACAGTAATTTTAACAATTTTTTACTCTTTACAATTCATAAGCAATGCATATTCAACTCGTGAAACTTTCATTGAAATCTGTGCATCAACACAGACCAGAATCGCACAAACGATTCTTTACATATCCGCCGTCACATATGCCAGAATCGCACCAACGATTCTCCACATATCTGCCGTCATATATGCTACAATACACAAGGGGCTCTGTGCACCAACACAGGCCAGAATCGCACCAACGATTCTTTACATATCTGCCGTCACATATGCCAGAATCGCACCAACGATTCTCAACATATCCACCGCCAAATATGCTACAACACATCTGCCGCCACATATGCCAGAATCGCACCAACGATTCTCTACATATCTGCCGCCAAATATGCACCAACACGGACAGAAATCGCACCAACGATTTCCTACAGACCCATCGCCACATGTTACTCATGAGGTGCGGTCTAAAGTTTTGAGTATGAGTATACAAGCCATTCTTAATCAAATTTGGTCTCACTACCAATGTCATCAACTATGACATCTAATTCTCGATGAACTTGGTGATCGGGGATCTTCCTCACATGATCATGGGGGTATTTGTGGGGTACTTTGCACACAAACATGACCGCTTCCGGTTGAATTTACGATAGTATTTAAACTTTTGCCTCAGCACCATCTTTGATGAGAGGGTAATTCGGCCCAGAATCATAATAAAATGGGTACGACTCACCAGTATTCATTAGCATACCGCTAGGATTGCTCACATAGCAAACGTAAACACGACGCTCATTGCTCACCTCTACGGTAGGCATAAGGGAAGCGC